TGGACTTTAGAATGGTAGTTCTGTTGATAGACTTGCAGTTGGGTGAAATTATACCAAGACAACTGGCCCATTTACATAATGGTTGACAACTATTGGACACAGAAATTATACCAAGACAACTGGCCCACTTACATAATGGTTGACAACTATTGGACACAGAAATTATACCAAGACAACTGGCCCACTTACATAATGGTTGACAACTATTGGACACAGAAATTATACCAAGACAACTGGCCCCACTTACATAATGGTTGACAACTATTGGACACAGAAATTATACCAAGACAACTGGCCCACTTACATAATGGTTGACAACTATTGGACACAGAAATTATACCAAGACAACTGGCCCACTTACATAATGGTTGACAACTATTGGACACAGAAATTATACCAAGACAACTGGCCCACTTACATAATGGTTGACAACTATTGGACACAGAAATTATTCCAAGACAACTGGCCCACTTACATAATGGTTGACAACTATTGGACACAGAAATTATCCTAAGCGGCTACACACATGTCAGGGAAAGCGACGGAAGAATCAGAAGCGGTCTAGCATCGATATGTATGATCTGTCCGGCATAGTGCTCTATACTTCCTATTCGTTATCTGCTCAATATCTGCTCAATTACATTCAAAGCAGTTAGCCACGAGCTCAGCTTTTAGCATCTTTTTTTCTTCTTCTAAGAATCAAATCACTCATTTATTACTACTCTCTCTCTCTCTCTCTCTCTCTCTCTCTCTCTCTCTCTCTCTCTCTCTCTCTCTCTCTCTCTCTCTCTCTCTCTCTGTCTGTCTTTCTCTTTCTCTCTCTCTCTGTCTTTCTCTCTCTCTCTCTCTCTCTCTGTCTTTCTCTTTCTCTCTCTCTCTCTGTCTTTCTCTCTCTCTCTCTCTCTCTCTCTGTGTGTGTATGTGTGTGTGTGAACATCATCATTATCATATGCCTTGCCGACTGGCTTTGCTTTCAAAACATCTTGGTTGCTCTTTTTGGCTGCCCAAGGTATTTTAATTAAGCATGTTTTTTTTTATTTTTTTAAACCACATCTTTGAGGCTTCAAGAAATTGTTTGGCCTTCCTACCTATTGCCCAGGACAATATAAACATTTTACTCAATGAAAGATAAATTTTGTGTTCTTGAGATTTCTCAGAAACTGAAGCGAATATCGCGTTGTCATTGTCATATTGGTGCTCTGCACATGAACATCTATCAGAGCCCTCGCTCTCATCAGAAGGTCGTGGGTTCGGGTCCTAACATCAGACTTTTTTTTAAAAACGACTTTTGCCTTAAGGTCGACCCAGCCTTGAATCGGTATTAGGTGGAGTCATGGAAAGTAAAGGCGGTCGACGTGATGCTTACTAAAACACCCACCAAGTGCCGATTGGAATATATAAAATATACGTCTAGTCACACATGCCTAATACTCGGTGCCATGACTTTCATCTAATATTGTTGCCCAGTGTTTTCAATGTTGTAATTCTGTCTGAGTGATTATTGATGTCTAAAATTTTGTTAGCTATGTCAGGATGCCAAAAAAAATTATTATGTTAAACAGCCTTTAAATACCCTATAAACCTTAGAAGTGGAGAAGAGGCGGAAAGGGGGGAGGGGGGGGACACTATTATTACGGTACTTGGGAGACCAAAGTAAGAATCCTTGGTAAAATGAATGGGAGTGTTTTTCTTTTAACTGACCGCCCACATCAGAAAGAGACAATTTGCATTCTTTGCCTATGTCATGAAAAGGGTGAAACTACTATATCGTGACAGTGGGAAACTGGACTACATCGTGACAGTGGGAAACTGGACTACATTGTGACAGTGGGAAACTGCACTACATCGTGACAGTGAGAAACTGGACTACATCGTGATAGTAGGCAACTGGACTACATCGTGACAAGGGGAAACTGGATTACATTGTGACAGCAGGAAACTGGACTACATCATGACAGTGGAAAACTAAACTACATCGTGACAGTAGCAAACTGGACTACATCGTGACAGTAGAAAACTGGACTACATCGTGACAGTGGAAAACTAAACTACATCGTGATAGTGAAAACTGGACTACATCGTGACAGTGGGAAACTGGACTACATTTTGACAGTGGGAAACTAGACTACATCGTGACTGTGGGAAACTGGACAACATCGTGACAGTAAGAAACTGGACTACATCGTGACAGTGGGAAACTGGACTACATCGTGACAGTGGGAAACTGGACTACATCGTGAAAGTGGGAAACTGGACTACATCGTGACAGTGGGAAACTGGACTACATCGTGACAGTGGGAAACTGGACTACATCGTGAAAGTGGGAAACTGGACTACATCGTGACAGTAGGAAGGTTGTAGGGGAAAAGAGGGAGACTGACAAAAAATACTTTACACTTTGACATCATAGCTTGGAAATCATCTGTGTCAGAATTGATTACGAGTATACGAGACAGAAGGTTGTGGATAGACATGACAACCATTATCCCACATCAGGGACTATAAGAATTAAAGAGTAATATAGAGTGGACACCTCGCGCCCAATCACCGTTAGTGTGATGCGTACCTGTTGTCAGAAATCTTGAAAGAATTGTATCTTGCTCATTTATAATCTGCTTCAGCGTGAACTGGTTGTTGCATACTTAAAATCCCAGCTAATGATAACTTCGGCGTGATGCTCACCACATCACCATCTTGTGCCGATTGGTCTATAAAAGATAGGTCTAGCCCTATATGCTCTCTACGCCTAAAGGCATGGAAAAGAGTCCTTTACTTTTTTTTTTTTTTTAATGAAAACTTGCGTCACTATGTCACTGTGTACCGGTGCATGTGAATGAGTTAGGTGTGCGTTTATATGTATGTGTTCATGTATTAAGTGTGTACTTGTGAGTATGTTTGTGTGCGTGTGTGTGTGCTTGTTTACGTAACAGTGTGTGCGTTGAGTGATTGAATATTATAAATTTTTTATGGGAAATTATTTCGCAAAACTTTAAAAAAAAATATGAATATTCTCCTGCGACGTTTTTCAAACTCATTGTTAGAAACAGTTGAATTTTGTATCGCTACTCATTGTTTTACTCATTGTTGGGCCGACGTTCATCGAGAGGATTTGTATAATTACGCAAGGCCCCCAGGTCGACCCAGTCTAAAGTGCTCACTATGAAATATCTTGAGAAACAAAGTCGGCAGACATGATGTTGGCCATGTCATCCGATAAGCGCTGATAAAAACACAGACCTAGCACCATACACTTGGCGCCTTTATTGTGAAATGAGTCCTCTACCTAACTAATTTTTACTTATGTCCAGGTGCATATAGAAAACATACGTTTTGCAGTAGTATATTATTTAAACTTACAACACAATAGTATGAAAAATAAAAGCAACCACCTGTTCTCATCTCTTCATATATTAACTAACACAAATGCTGCATTGTAACAAAATTCTTAGCGTACAGTTCTGTCTAAATGTTCTCAAGGGGAACCGACTGTGTAAGAAAAGCTCAGATCATTATGTAACAACCATTCCATGTATTCAGCCCAACAGCTTTCAGAGAGAAATTTATAAACAAAAATCATTTATTTGTCGGAAGACCCTGCTCCGAGGAATGGCGGATTGTCACAAGACCAGAGAAGTTGTAACTTTGGTTTCAGTTATCGCACGCTCAGAGAATCTCTGAGAAGATTTATATAATCAATTGCAGCCTTCAGCGTCTGTATTCTGGATAATTTCTGCTTATTCTTTATATTTGGCAGACGTTCTTTCAGACGATCAAATGCTACATTGAGATGGCACATTCGCCTGCGTTCTCTCATGTTAGCCGCACTTCTCTGCACAGGAGTTTGTACACGTCTTCGTCGCCTTCGTCCATTAGAACCGAGACTGCTACAGGAAGAATCCGTCATGAAGGTCTTACTGAAGCAACAATTGTCGATGTTGATATTGTTAACAATACTATTGTTCTTTGCCAGCTTTTTGGCACTACCAATGTCTCCTGGGTTGAGACAAGCAATGGCTTTCTCTGTGTAGACATCATTTCTCCAAGTCATGTTGAAAAACCTATTGTTTTCTTGCTCCCAGCTAGACAGATAGTTCTGGTAGCTATAATTAACGGGACTTCTGTCTAGAACGTTACCAGTAGCATCTAGATATGTGTTGCTGGGTGCTGTCGCTGGTGACAGAGGTTCAATTAGGTTCCCTGGATAACACATGCGAGAATTATTCACAAATCCCCGATGATCCTCAAAAGCCAACTGTAATTTGTGCTCGGAGACAGCACGATCGTCGAGGGCGCCAATAGTTAGGGGTGTTTCCGGTGAAATAAGTTCAGTTCCAGTTTTTTTTAGTGGAGTAACTATGTGTTCCTGCATGCTATGATTAACTCTTTCTTTGTAAGTCTCAGAATTAACTTGTTCTTGCGACATGAATCCTGTCTTCTCTGTGTCAGCTTTGATGGCCAGGTATTTCATATCAGGAGTGTGGAAACGTTGGGCGCTCTCATCTATTCTGGCCGAGTCCAGGTCCATTATTTTTACCTGAGTGGCCTCCTGGAGTTCTTGGCTGTACACATTGCTACTCAAGGATGCTTGGCGTAAATGATGATTACCCATAAGACTTGTCACACCGGGAAGCGCTTGCCGTTCTTGCTGTGCTACCTTTTCCATACTGATGTCCTGGTCTATGAATTCTCTATCGCTGAGACCATCGATCTCGGTCTTCATTGGTGACTCGCATTTCAGAGAATTCTCTGCTACTGATTTTGTATCTACAACAATTGTCCTCCTGCTCATAATGAAGGAAAGGCGTAAGCAATGTTGACTAACCTGGACGGTATTTGTAGACACATTAACTTGGTATTATGGTAGAAATAATAGCATCCACGAATTCTTCTTTGTTTACAATGAATATATATGTGGCACCTTCCTAATGTTGAACACAAACATATCGCAGCTAAAGAAGTATCTGAAAATATTTGAATGTCTCCTCCGTCTGCTCTGCTGGCAATGTCTGTAACATCGCTTTTGTAGTTCTCGGTCACAACACTTTCCACAGGAAAAGGTTACTGTTGCTATCTCCCTCCACAAGTACATATAATCCACCGAAGATATGTAGTCCTGTGTCTCCTGCCACCGCAATCACAGTCATTCACTATACGAGCCCGGTTCTTTCAGGTAACCTATGAAATCAGACCTATGGATGTGTACGATAGATAGCCAGTAATAATAAACCTTAAATCCAACCCCCAACCGACCTGTTGACTGGTTGCTTACACGAATCTATAGTAGGATATTACCACCGCTTAATTATACAAGATACTAAATTTAGTCTGCCATCTGGTGAGCTGTTTCGTTCGCTGACGGTGAACTGGTGAGCTAGTTTACCAGTAAATATTTCCTTTCCACTTATTTAATCCAAGCACATGATAGTTATTTGACTAGATGAGGAGAACGATGCCTTCGTTAATCTGATGACAGAAATACACGCTTTATCAGTGCGACACATGACTAGTCCATAGTGTCAATGATGCATTTTCTAGTATATAAATGATGCGAAAATTATAATAATAATATACAAGCATCGATTTTTCCATCTCTATCGACTGCGACATTTCTTTTATTGTAGCACTGGTTGCAATAAGTATAGCATTATTATTGCGCTACGATATTGTTTATTGCTGTAATAATTCAGTCGCCATCAGTTATTATTGTCATAGATTTACATGCCAATTTGTTGCCCGTTCAACCTGATTTTATTCGTCTAGCTGATGCAGACAATTAATTACTCTCTTTCTTAATAATAATATGGGTGAGAGAAAAAAAAAAGGGGGGGGGGGGTTAAATCACAACAAACGTGACTGGTGTTCCACAGTACAACTGTGTATGCGCACGCACGAGTGTTCGGCTCTACCTATAGGCAAGGTGACTCTAGTTCTGGCGTCTCTCAGAACGTCCAGGTATTCTTTTATATGATGCTCAACTTTATGCCAACTATATCAAATACCGTAAGACCTACGTACTGATTTACTGCTCTCTTGATCACTACCACATCTCTTCTCACCCACCTGCGCTTTCTTCCTACCTATCAAATATGATGTTTGGCTCTAAATGCTTTTCTATGCCCCACCCCCGATATTGAGAAAGTCAGAGATAGTAGGTATTCGAATATTAATCTTACATATACAATCGGTTCCACAATGAACCTTTCTCACTCCTCCTTTTTTCATATTCTTGTTCATATAGCACTGTTCTGAACACCAGATGACACTATTAGCGTCTGAGGTGCTGCCTACCCTCCATAGACAATCTTCTTGTTCCCATCTGTGAAGCTCGTCATAGCACCGCTCTTCTGCATTCTCGCTTTTTCCAGTAGTTTCTGTCGCCAGCTCATCTGCGAACTGGGCTTCCCAACGTCTTCTGTAGCAACATGTTCTTCAGCTAAGATTCTTCTAGTGCTTGGAGCAATCTTATGGGAGAGGGCGATACAGTAAGGGGAGTTTTTATTTAATAAACAGTAGTTCCCATATGCATCTCTGAGACAATGTGCTTCTCAGCTTTGCCCAGATGTCCTTGGCTGACATTTTCCAACAACTTATCTGTAGATATATTGCGACCTTGTCTATCCTATGATATACTGGAACAGCTAAGCTGATTCTTATTCCACTCTGTGTCAGGGGAAGTATTGTCATACATGTATGAATAGCATAGTAGTTAGGTGATGGGTCATGAACACGTACTAGACATACAGGCACACACACACACACACACATACACTCACATTCAAACGCACGCTCGAACTCACACACATTATATATATATATATATATATATATATATATATATATATATATATATATATATATATATATATATATATGTGTGTGTGTGTGTGTGTATATATATATATATATATTATATATATATATATATATATATATATATATATATATATATATATATATATATATATATATATATATATATATATATCCATGCCACAAATAGAGAATATATTTTAGTCTGAATAATCTATAAAATACATTCCCTATATGAAACATTGAGTGTTTACGCTTTTTTAAGGGACAAATAACATGCCGGGAATGAATTTATGTATATCTGGAGTTGATTTTAATTTTGAGAAGAAAACAAGTCCATTTCAGCTGTCACCCCAGCCGGAAACAGTAGACAGCTCTGACGGGGAGATAAACGGCATGCATTCCTTAGACAGTTGGTGACCAGGAAAGTTCGTCTGTCAGTGACACAAGACTTCCTACACTAGATTATGTTATTGGTCTGCACAAAATTCTATGGTTATTTTGTATCCAGTTTGTTTTTGTTGACTCTTTGTGTTTATTTGAAATTTAAAAAAAAAAATTTTTTAAGACTGATTGAAATATACAAAATTTTTTTTTTCTTATTTTTAAAAAAAGTACTTTTTTGGGTTAATTTGTGATTTTTTAGGACAATTGACAACACTGCCTTCTGGACAAACAATAATTGCCCAGTCTTTTCGAGCAGTTGTTAATGAGTGAGGATGCTGATGGTTGGGGGGGGGGGGGAGGGGGAGGGCGAACTAGTTTTTTACAAATCTGAACTTGAAACGCCTGCGTTCATTGTTATGTTTCATACAAGATTCTCCACTCCTACGAATTCCAAGGTATCCTTGATGTCGAATTAAGACTCGACATCATATCACTAGGAACACTCCCATAAGCGCCTAGTTCCCACTTTCAGCGGCAAGCGAAGAGTTCCAATTCCGATGGCACCAGTAACTGACTGTATATCCGTCTATGCACTGTTCATTCGTTCCCAAAGGGCCTTCACGACATCTAGCTTGACATACATCAGGTCACCATCAAGTTGTACAGACCGGCCAGTATATCTCTCTGCTCGTTTCAAATACACTGGCATGACTTGGAGAAAATATCTAAAGGACGCTAACTACCCGGGACCTTTGCTTGCCACTCTGCACGGATCATGCCTGTCTCAACCTTTCTTGCCATTCTCTTTGAGCCAGTTACAATTACGACTTGTGTGTAATACTGATTCTCAATTTAGCGGAAGGCTATTCGTATTCGTATTCGGTCGAATAGTTGGTCCCATTATTCGTATTCGGCCGAATAGTGAAAATCACTATTCGGTGCAGCCCTAGCTATTATATTTCTAGGTATAGCAATGAATCGTTTTGTTTCGTTTATTTTGCTATACATTTTCGTCGGTATCTATAGCTTCGATTGCGACCCGAAAATTTGAAAACCAATTGTCTGTTATTCAGAAATTATTTTTCTGTGCTCTTTACGTGAAAGATAAAATCGGAACAGTTATTAGAAGTTATTGGAGAGATGCCAGGCTTTGACCTGAGATGGTTTTGACGCGTAAAAAATAAATCGATTTTATTTTTGGCAGCACGCAGTGAATAACGGTAAGTAATTTCGTAAATATCTTTTTAATTAGAAAGATTACCGCAAAGTGTGTTGTATTTTTCAATTCTGCGTTAATTTTTATATAAGTGTGGGAAATTTCACAAACATTGGCAAATGCGCAGATGTTTAAAAAATTTGTTTTGTGGCATCACTTTTTCCCCTTTAAATCCAAAATGTTTGCACTAGGAGACCGTTTTTCCCGCTTTATATTTAACTTTAAAAAATTACTAAATTTGCTAACGTTGTTTTAAGAATTTTTTTTACAAATCTACAACCATTGTAGCATTTGTTCATGCATCTGTCATTTTTTAGAGCCCTTCGTATTCTCTGTTTTAGATATTTTTGCCTGATCACCCCCAAATCCCAATAATTAATTTAGGCCATCATTGGTAAGATGATTCTTTGGTAATTAACTTAGGATGTTTAGTAAATTGACAATATTATGTGAGTTACTTTTTAAACATCCACAAACATTGTACAATTTTTCATGTGTTTGCCATTATTTAGAGCTTACAGAATTTTATGTTGGAGATGTTTTTACTTGCCATATCTTGATCACGAATTTCACAAATTCTGGCACTGAATGTAACATTTTTTTTAGAACAAAGCATATAAAATCTAATCTAAAACAGAGTATAATTGTGTTTATTATAAGGGAAAGCACCTAATTCCAATATGACATTCCTTATGTATTTCTTATAATAGTTATATTGTATATTTACAGTCATGGCAAGAAGGACAGCTAAGCATCTCAGAGATCATCTCTCAGTTTTTGAAGCTGGATACCCTATACAGAAAGGCTACATTGCTCGACGGCTGCTAGTGGATGGTTATTCTATATCTAATGTTTGAAGTGAAGTCCAAAGTATGGTGCAGGCAGCAGAACCCAGCAAGTGTTTGAATGAGGGAAGTCTTACAACTAGTTTGTATAAATATAAAAGATTGTTTAACAAAAGAATGGCAGTCACTTATTAGACTCTTCCTTGAACCATTTCCTATCACATTCAAGAGCCTCCCTGTCATGCCTGATTCACAACCTGGACATACTTTACCAATACAGCACTCTAAATCATGTATGCCAGGAATGCAGCCATTATTAGAACCAGATACCCAACAGAGATCAGCACTCACACCGTTGTCTTCATTAGAAAATGTACCTCATTTTTCACCATCATGCAGATTGCCATCACCAAAGAAGCTCAAAAGAGATTGTGAAAACTGTGTCATAAAGCAAAGGACAGTTATGAATATGCAATGTGAAAAGAAACATTTACAACAGGAAATACGAAAACTAAAAATACAGGTAAGAGAAAAGCAACGATCACAGTTTTCCTTGAAAATACTGAATGAAAAGATCATGAGGAAAATACA